TCATCATCATCATCATCATCATCATCATCATCATCAGCATCATCATCATCATCATCATCATCATCAGCATCATCATCATCATCATCATCATAAGCAGCAGCAGTATCAGCATCAGCATCAACATCATCATCGTCATCATCAGCAGCATCATCATATTCATCAGTATGCCCGTCATCATCATCATCAGCATCATCAGCATCATCATCATCATCATCATCACCATCACCATCACCATCACCATCATCAGCATCAGCATCAGCATCATCATCAGCAACATCATCAGCATCAGCATCCTCTCCTCATCCTCATCCTCATCATCATCCTCATCCTCATCCTCATCCTCATCCTCATCCTCATCCTCATCCTCATCCTCATCCTCATCACCACCACCACCACCACCATCATCATCATCATCATCATCAGCATCATCACCATCATCATCGTCGTCGTCATCATCATCATCAACATCAGCATTAGCATCATCGTCATCATCAGCATCGTCATCGTCATCGTCATCGTCATCGTCATCATCATCCTCATCATCATCATCATCAGCATCCTCATCCTACAGCTTCTCCACCTCCTTCACCTCCTTCACCTCCTTCACCTCCTTCACCTCCTACACCTCCTCCTCCTCCTCCTCCTCCTCTTCCTCCTCTTCCTCCTCCTCCTCATCCTCCCTCCTCCCTCCTCCCTCCTCCCTCCTCCCTTGGGATGGCCCGTTTCCTCGGATGGTCATTGGGATGGCTCGTTTCCTCGGATGCACGTTCGCTTGATCTCTTGTTGTGTGTTTCGCCCTCGGTCTTGATCTAAATCGTTCTGGTGTCTCGCCGTGAGCTTTCCGGGGGGGGGGGCGTCCCGTTTTCAAAATTCTGTCTTCCCCTGTTCTCCTAAGCAGTGGCGAAAAACTGTGCGCATGGTTTCGATTTAGGTCGTGGCTGATGCAGTGGTGCGGCATCCAATCTGCATGCCCCCTCTTCCTTCACCTCCCTCTTGCTTGCTCGGCCTTGCTCGCCTGCTGGGGGTGTGTGGGAGGGGCGGGATCCATAGGCATCATTGGTTTCATTCAAATCCCCACCAACCTGGCGCCGTACGTGCAGCGCCAGGGGGGGCGGGCTGCTCACCCACGGTCCCACCATAAGGGACGGTGCGAAGCCCCTGTGAGCAGTACGGGGTGGGCACGGAAGGGCATCATACGCCCATCCACCATCAAAGGAGTGCATCACAGCCTCCACCCTCACAGGAGTGCATCATAGCCTCCGCCAATCAACACTTTGGGGACTCATTGAACTCGTAACTCATAGACTTCAGTGTGACTTTATTCATTCCATGCGTAGCATGCTCTCTCCTCCCTCCTCCCTCCTCCCTCCTCCCTCCTCCCTCCTCCTCCTCCTCCTCCTCCTCCTCCTCCTCGTCGTGTCCTCGTCCTCGTCCTCGTCCTCGTCCTCGTCCTCGTCCTCCTCCTCCTCCTCCTCCTCCTCGTCCT